CCCCCGCCCGGGCGGCGCTCGCTCGGCGGCATCGCGACGGGCTGGGTCTGCGACACCCCTGCCCAGAGTTAAGATAATCTCGGGGGCCCAGTCCAGATCTCGGGGTTTCTCACCAGAAGCCTGGAGTCCATCCGAAATCTTGCTCTTTGCTATGATCTCTGATGGGTGCAGTCCTACTCCGCCCTCTCCCCGCCCGCGCGTGGCCCTCGGGCCCGCCCTTCGCGCTCCAGGTCGGCGGCCCCCCTCGCCCGTCGGGCAGAAAGGGGGGGCACCCTCCTCCGCGAGCGCCACCACTGCTGCTGCTGCTGCTGCTGCTGCTGCTGCTGCTGCTGCTGCTGCTGCTGCCGCACTTCCTCGTCGTCCTGCTCGCGAGGATCGTCATCCTCGTCGCGGTCGTCGTTGTCGTCGTCGTCCTCCTCCCGCTAAACCTCCTCCTCCTCCTCCTCCTCCTCCTCCTTGTCATCATACTCCCCCCTCCTAGAGCGGTCAATCACCCCCTAGAGCTCCCTGAACACCTTGACTCCCGCCTCCTCCTCTGCCTTCTCCTCCTCCATCCTCCATCCTCCCCTGAACCCACGTGCCCCTCCCATCTGCACCACCCCGCAATCTCGAATCTCATTTCCCAAACGTCCTCCTCCCGGTCCCCCCTGCCCTCCTCCTTGCTTCTCCGCTCCTCCTCCTCCTCTCTTCCTCCTCCATCTCCTCCTCCTCCTCCCCGCCTTTCTCCGCTCCTCATCTGTATCCTCTTCCTCCAACTGCTTCCTCCTCCCTCCACTCTGCCCATCTCCCGCCCCTCCCTCCCCTCTGCCTCCTCCCCCCCGCCCCCCTGCTCCGCCCGTCGGTCGCACCAGCAGGATGCCCAGGCCGGCGCCCAGCCCGCGGACCATCGCACCCCCAGCGGGAAGGTCGGGTGCGCCGAAGAGGCGAGGGGGGGGGGCCCAGCATGGCCCGAAGCACGTGCGCGGACAAGGGCCGGAGGATTCCAAAGGGGGTTTGGGGGGAGGGGGTTTTCCAGGAGGGGCCCCCCAGGGGCTTCGGGGCTTCGCACCCCCTGTTTTGACGAGGTTCCGAGGCCCCTGGGGGGCTCTCTGGAAAACCCCTTCCCCCAAAACCCACTTTGGAACCCTCCGGAAGGGGGGGGGGCAGGGGGCTGTGCTGAAATGGTCCTACTACTGCCTGGGAGGAGGGGTACCATGAATAGTAGCAAGAATCATAAGAAGAGCACTCGGAGCAAGAAACACAAGACTGAGACTAAGCACAAGGAAACACACCATACTAGCACTAATAATAACATACAAATCATGTTAGCCGGCGTGGCCCCCCAAACAGTGATTCCGTGCAATATGTGCATTGCAATCTGGGTGGCACAATACATGTGCTGCAATCGATGCGGCGCAACGCAATGCAAAGCAATGCAAACCAATCCAAAGCAATGCAAAGACATGCAACGCAATGCAACGCAATACAACGCAACGCAAAGTAGTGTACTGCGATTCAAAGCAATGCAAGCCAATGCAACGCAACGCAAACCAACGACAAGCAATGTAGCAATGCAAGCCAATGCAACACCATGTAATGCGATGCGAGGTAATGCAACGCAATGCGCAGTAATGAACGAGAGCGTTCCAAGAAGACCTCCCAGAGAGCCTAAGGCAATAATAATTGATTTTCAATGTTTTTCCGTGTTTTTTATAATCTCGCCTTTTCGAGCTTCCGGCGCTCCCAAACGGCCCCAGGGACCCCCAAGACCGCCCCGTGACGGCCGAAGAGGCCCCCAAGAGGGTCCCAAAACGGCGCGAGATGGCCCCTAACACGGCCCAAGAGGCGCCAAAGACAGCCCAAGAGAGCTCCAAGACGGCCTCAAGAGGGGCCCAAGAGGGGCAGCACGAACAATTCGAGCCTTGCGCTCGAATAGGCCCCCAGCAGGCCCCCAAGGGCCTTCAAGAAGCCCCAAGGGGCCCCCAAGAGACCCAAAAGAGGCCCCCAAGAGGCCCTCAGACGGCCCCCAAGAGGCTTCAAAACTACCTCCAACAGGCCCCCGAGAGGCCTCCCACTATATCCCAACGGACATTCAAGAGGCCTAATAACCCACAACCCAGACAGGCACGGTGGCGGGACTTGCCGTAGGAAGCTGGATGTTCAGAAGAATAAGGCGAAAATCAACGCATCAAAAGAACCACACTGGCACTAAGAGTGAGGAGGCGAAGGGGGCCATGACATCTGGGAGGTTTCGTGGCTCCGGCTATGATGCCCCCCCAGTCCACCTCCCTCTCCTCGACGCCCCCGAGCAAAAGGGGGGAGCGCGTACCGCGCCTCCCCGTGGAGGGGACTCCTGGGCAGCAAAAGGTCCGGCTGCGGGGGGCCGCGCTGCGCGCACGGGGGGGGACACCGATGCTCCACGTGTTTTCGGGCAGCCTCCCGGTGCTGCCGCAGCGAGCCTGACTTGAGCCGCCACCTCCACCGACAGAGCTGCGACAACAGACGGCAGAGGGTAGCGAGCACAGAATCGGATCGATAAGTCGGATCGGCGGTCGAAATGAATCGGATGGGCGGAAATCGGCAGCCGAGTCGGGAAAAGTCGAATCGGCGGAAATCGGCAGGGTAGTATGCCTCCAATGAGAGATCGGAGCCCAAATCGGAATCCCAAGTCGAATCGAATCGGAATCGGAAGCCATCGAAGTCGAATCGAGTCGAATTGGAGGGATCCAAACGGGGCCTGAGAGGTGAGTGTCCTCCTGTGGGGCGAAGACGGACCCGCCCAGCCCCTCGGATTGACTGCTGACTGGGAAACTGCACGAGGTTACATCCATCGGGGCTGCGGAACTTGGTCGCGAGTGATGAGTACCGACCTCCAGCACGAGTGGAGGGGCTTGTGGTATTGGGCGGCGCACACAAGGGGGTAGGGGGAGGGGGAAGCCTTCTTAGAAGGAGGCTGCTTCTTAGAAGGCGCCCGCCTTACACCTATAGATAAGGCTCGCGCCTTCTAAGAAGCAGGGCTGCTTCTAAGAAGCCTTCCTCCCTCCCCCTGCCCCCCTCTGCGCGTGGCCGAGGTCTGGGGGCGTCCAGGTGCACAGCTGCCGCGTGTCGAGCCCCCCCTGCCCTTGCAGCATTACCATTCGGCGCGCCTGGCCTCGCGTCCGCCAGGCACGCTGTGGAGCTCCACTACGGCGTGTTGCCACAACGATTTCCATCGCAAGCGGTGTCGCAAGCAAATGAGCATGTTCCCCAGGTGAGGCACGATGAGATGCTGACCCGCCCGAGGCCCCACTCCTGGCCAATGCCTCATCCATCCACTGGGGCGCTGCTGACACAAAACTCCCACCACGCTGCTCGACCGGGCAATTGCCACCCTCGATCAGGAACATTGCTGTCGAGCGAAGCGAGTCACGTGGAAAGGGAAGGGAGCGTTTCTTGCAAGAGAAGGTGCGCGCGCCTGCTTTTGTGCTCTGCCGGTGCTGGACACCTCCAAAGCTTCGCGTGGCTTGCCGGGCGCCGCCCCCTATCTGGTTCGAAACTACAGCAGCCGAATTCACCATCACGTGCTCGTGCACGACAGGCCACTTCCCTCCACGGTGCTTCAAGAGGACCGCGGCGGCTGTGAGAGCGACCGCCAGACTATAAAGAAGAAAAAGTGCATTGACCGACGACTGGCACGGCTATGCACCAGCTGTCCCGACTGCAGTCGATTCCTGGTACCGGCCTGCACGCGTGATACACTACGCAAGCTGCGCAATGTTCGAGGCGGAATCTGGGGCCTCGTTATTTTGCCAAGGGGAACGATGGAGGGGGGGGAGCCTGCTCAAGGGGCAACGTCGACCTACAATCGGCGATGTATCGCCGATGGATCGGCGATGTGCCCCCGATGGCGAAAGTGAACGTTTCTGGGCGGGGTGGGCTATGAGGTCCCTGTCGGCGATGATTTGGCGGTTGGGGGTCGATGCATCCCCAAGCATCCGATGCCTTGACTTTGCCAATACGGGGTCCCCGGAAGTCCCGACCCTTTTCCCAGAACCAAAATTTCATACCGAAACGGCCCAAAAAAATTCTGACGCGTTTTTCCACGACGCGAGCATGTATGGGGATGCGTTCCCCCCCGTGAGACTGTCCCCGCCTAACGTTGCCCCTGATTTTGTGGTGTCCGCAGCCCACGGCCGCGCGGCGTGCGGGGTCTCACTGACTGCGAGAGGCTCGTCCTCCGCACTCGGGCAAAGGGAGGGGTGCTGTGTGGCCGCGGGCCAGGGGCCAAATGTGCGCGCCAGCCCGAGAGGGGACCGTATGACTGGCGGCCCGGCTGGCAAACCGATGCAGCATACCGATGGTATGTGTTGATGAGCGCGAGGAGCGCCCTCTAGCAAGAAGCAGGGGACAGACCATAGCGGCGTGCGATCACGAGAATGGCTGTGGCGGAATCAGAGGCGGTGCACGGCGCGCATGAGGTATGTACGGATTCGATCGTGGCTGTTGCAAACATTAACCAATGGGGGGCTCATTTCAGGTTCGGATTTTCCTCCATTGCAGATGTTGTAGTTTGACTATTTTTTGTCGGGGTCGGGGGGGGGATCGGGGTGGTCTCTCGAGCCATCAACGTCATGTGATGACGGTTGTTATGAACCCCGAGTTCACCGCCTGCCAAGAACCACGTCGGCTCTCGTCCCGAATCGAGCCTGGATCGGGCTCACTGGAGCCCTCGTGCCATACAATCCATGCCATGACAAAGATATGTTACGATGAGAAGGCCAGGAGGTCTAACATCTTCGATTCAGCGTAGATGTCTTGAGCGACCCGTGGAACTACAAAGAGGAGATTCCCACCTTCTGGGAGGGAGGAGTCGGGGGGAGGACTGGAAGGATGGCAGATGGGGAGGAGGGAGGGAGAGGAGGGAGAGGAGACGGGAGGAGGAGGAGGGGACGGAAGAGGAGCGAGGAGTGAAGACGCTTACACCGACCGAGGGGCGCGCCCAAACTACTCGAACGCAGCCCGCCGAAACGAACCCGAGACGCTTCCTCGTTGGGATGCAGACCACGCCCCAGCCTGGCGAGATGGGCTCGAGGGCCGGCGCAGGTTTGGGGCGCCCGCGAGGGCCCTCTGCGAGGTCGCCGCAAGCTCTTCCCCTGGGCACCTCCCCTCCGCGATGCCGGCACGCCGACGGCAGACCACCGAAAGCGCTGGCCTCGGCCACGCGCTGGCCAGGCGCGCGGACGTCGCCCAGGTCGGCAGGGCTCCACAGCTCCACGGAGCACTCGGCCGCCTACCGAGCCCAAGGCACCCCGCGAGCCCCCCGCTTACGGACGATAGAGGAGGGGCTGGAGAAGCAGCACCTGCATAAAAACATCCATGCTTGCGCCTATTGTGGCCTTCGGGGCCAAGGGAAGGAAAGACAACGGCGTCGCATTGGCACGGAGTCGGGATCGAATCGGATTGACCGCGCCAGGATGCACAAGGGCGCCCTGCAACGACGGGCCGCATCGGATCGCCCGGAGCATCGGAATTCGAGTCGGATCGGGCGGGCTAGAATCGACATTGGATCGGATCGATCGGATAAGAGTGGACCCTGCGACGACGCGAGGAAGGACGACGGAGAGCAGCGCCATGCGAGCATCAGGCGACATCGGATCGCCAGGAACATCGGAATTCGAATCGGATCGGGCCGTCTGGAATCGACATCCGCTCGGATCGATCAGATCAAAACGGATTAGATCAAAATGAACCCTGGATGTCGTTCTGACCATGAGTTGGACCGTAGGCGGCCGTCCAGGACGATCCCATCACCCCCTTAACGATCGCGACGAAGCGCAGGTCATGGGAATTATCCTGGGCCCCGAAAACCTTCGAAAACTCTGGGTCCCCCAACCACCCAGGCCCATACATGCGACGTCTCGTGCGACGTCTCGACGTTGCGAGACGGAGACCCTGAACGTCCCAACCCTCTCCCCACGGTAAGTTTTCATCTTGGGACATGTTTGCCGATCCCAAGTCGGTTGCACGTACGAGTGGCCCTGGGCAAGGCGACGGTGGTGCGCGACGTTCGGGGGCCGCGGGGAGGCCGAAAGAGAGCGCGCAAGCCGCTGCTTCCACATCTCATTCAGCCATCTGGGGGCCCCACCGTGCCCGCACAGAAGGTCACTCTGGCGGAAGGTCAGTCCTACGCATGGCCGGCCACGGCTCGCCAAGGTCACCCAGAGACCGAAACCGGCCAAATACCTTCCGTCGTGTTTTCTGTTCTGTGTCGGTTGCTCTAGCGCTGGCTCGCTTCAGGATGCAAGCCTATCCTGCGACGGGGGAGCAGCCCGTGGCCTGGCGGGAGGGTCCTACTGCTGCGCGCAGCCGCATGCGGCCCCGTGCTGTGGCGGGCGGGCCGGTCGGCCGCGCGGCTCCGCGAGGCCGAATGCGGGCACTGGCACCGGCGCCTCGCGGGAAGGGCAGCAGCAGGGTCCTGCGCCTCGTCCAGGTCCTCATCCTGCTGCTCCTCCTGCTCCTCCTGCTGCTCCTCCTCAACCTCCTGCCCCTCCTCCTGCTCGTCCTCCTGCTCTTCCTCCTCCCTCTCCTCGTCCTGGAGTCCCAGGCGTGCTCGTGTCGTAAAGCGACCCTGGCGGGAGGTTTTTGGCCGTTCTCGGCCTCTGGGGGTCTTCGCCTGGCCCCCGGACACTGGAAAAAACAAGTTCGGGCTGAAGAACCGGCCCTGGGGACAAGGGTCGGGACTTCTGGGGACCCCGTATGGAGGAAATCGAGATATCGGATGTCTGGCTCCCCCCTCCTCCATGATGAGGTGGACGAGGAGGCGGAGGCGGATGCGGAAATGGAGGCAGAGGAGGAGGAGGAGGAGGAGGAGGAGGAGGAGGAGGAGGAGGAGGAGGAGGAGAAGGCGGAGGAGGAGGAGGAGGAGGAGGAGGATGCTCCCCTGCCCCGGATCTTTTCATGGCCAGATGGTGCGTCTAAGAACGCAGGCTATCCGCCCACCAGCGGGGGGGCCCCTCGATTCATCGCTGCCGAGTCTCCGACGATATGTTAGATCCTTCAGGCAGGAAAAAGAATGGGCGGTGGAGGGGCAGAGGACGGAAGCTTGAGCAGAGGCGATGGACGCGGCATCCCGTCACACGTTTAGAAAATGAGGGCATGCACCCCTGCCCCGGCTCTTTTCATGGCCAGATGCTGCGTCTAGGAGCGCAGGCTATCCGCCCACCAACGGGGAGGCACAGTGACTGCGCGCCTCCCTCGAATCGTCGCCGGCGAATCTCCAGACCCCAAACTGGATGCCTGGCAGCTGACGGAGACCTGCAAACAAAGAGGAAACGGAGGGTACAAGTGTGTGCGTGGACTAGATAGAGAACGTCTGTTACACACGTGCCAAAAAGACATGATACTACTAAGTTACAATACGTGCACACCTGGCATGCTCGACGCTGCTTGCGCTGCTCAGGAGCCATTTTGCTAGGGCGCGTGAGACGGGTTTGGCTTGGGGCAGGGCTCAGCTAGCTGGGTCGATTTCTTTCCACCAGGAGCATTTCCCTGAAGCGTGATGTGCCCGAGTCCCGTGGCCGAACACACACCGTGCCTTCCAGAGCAGCATCTCCCAATCTCCAGGGGGCACATCCACAGTTCCACGCACGGAAACGAATTGATTTTCTCCATCGGGTCCCGAGCTGGCAATAGTCAAACCATATGTCTACGCATGAACGAAGCGATCGGAGATGGTCCTGGACGGGCTCTTTCCACATGAGCGAGGTCAGAGGGTTCTCCATTATGGCAGGGACTCCACACTTGAGGCACATCATAACGATCTGCTGGCTGCGTTTCAAGGTTCGGTTTCCTATCATCACCCGCTGCTTCGCTTTGTCGCTGGGCTCGCTTCGTCCTTCCATTGAGACCAGATCTCGGTAAAAGCTGTGCGGTGCGTTGGACCAGGTGGAGCAAGGAGGGACAAAACATACACCCCGAACGACACGACTCGATATCTATCCCTTGATCATTCTGATCAGTGCCAGATTTGTAATGTCGAAAGCCACATCGTCGACGAGATCGAGGCACGCGACTCCCCACTCCCCTTGATTTTAACAATCTCCTTGCCCACGCTCACACTCCTGCTTCCAGACAACAAATTCAGAACAACCTGCTTGCGTCGGCGACGACGCAGAGTTTCACGAAGAGCACGCTGGCATCTGCGAAGCAGAATTGAATATGAAACGCGGTGAGTGGCTTGACAAGTATCTCCCGCCTTCCACGCGGCACCTGCGGTCAAGGGGCCGTTGCCATCAAAGTTGAGGGAGGTGCCAACTGTACTTCCCCTGTGATCACCTCGGCCAGCCGCTCGCTCACCTGGTGCCCGTAGCTCAGACTGGGCGGGGGAACGGCGGCCAGCTCTGCCAGGTGCCTGGCTTGCTTTGCGTACCTCTTGCTGGGCCGGTCGGCGGCGTGCCTCATGCGAGGCTGGATGTCCGCCAGCGCCCGATGACCCTCGGCCGCGTCGCAGCTCGCAGCCCCGTTGCGCGCCTGGTACTGGCGCGCGGCGTCGTGCCCCACGGCGCGGAACTTGCGCCCGAACTCGCGGGCGTTCATGCTCCACACCCGCCCCTTGGGCCCTGCCGCCTCCTTGAGCTTCTGCAGACGGCGCCCGATGGTCAGCAACATGTGCGACGCGAGGGCGACGCTCTCGTCGAAATGGCTGGCCTTGCTGCGCAGCGGCTGCTCCTCGGGGTGCAGCAGGGGCGCCCGAGCCCCCGCCGCCGGCAGCGCCTGTCCACCGAGACGCACAGGCGGCGCGAGCGAAGCTCCCGTTAGCTGCAGGGGGGGGTCGCTCGGGAGGCGCAAGTAGGCGCCCCAGCTCAAGCACAACGCGATCGCCATGTCGAGCCACCCCCAATGGACGGCCAACCCCGCAGCGGGGAAAGCCAGCGGCTTGGGGAGGGGGGCCTGCGTCTGCCCGTGGCCCAGGCGGCGGTGCCCTTTCATGGCGGCGAGGGTCGCCTCCATCTCCCCGTGGTCGCCGATCCCCGCCCTCGGGGGGAAGTGCCGGAGGGCGGCGTGCAGCCTGTGGGCGCGGTCGTGGTTGTAGCCCGCGAAGAACAGCGCATCGAGGTGGAGAGGCGCCGCAGTGTTCACCTGCTCGACTGTTTTGGGGGTCGCCCCCCGCTCCTGGCACCACTGGCGGAACTCGCCACACTCGCGCTGAAAGTCCCTTCTGGCGTGGTGCCCAATCTTCTCGAACTGCAGAGCCGTGAGGCCCAGCTGCTGCGCCCGCTCCCTCTTGAAGCCATGGCTTCGCTGTCGGCGAGCTGCCCGGGCCTGCAACTTCGCTGCCGCCGACGTCCGCGAGGTCGACGGCACCTTCGCTGCTGCTCGACGAAGAGGGAGAGGTGCTGTCATTCGAACTTCTGGCCGTCGTCGACCCCGGAGTGCCACTGATGCAGCGAGGCTGCCAATGCACGGCGTGGGCCGCGCCGCCTGGGAGAGGGTCGTCGACGAGGAGGTCGCCGAGACCGCGGAGACCCACCGCGGAGCTGTTGGCCCGCTCCAGGAGGAGGACCTCGTCAACTTGGGCCCGCAGGGCCTCGGCGGCCACCCATTGCTTGAAGGCCTCAGAGTAGCAGGCGTACCAAGGATCGCATCGCGGATCAGATACTTGAGCCGATGCTATGCGTGACGGAGCGCCCCCTGGCTGCCACTCTGAGGAAATCCATCGACCACTGAACATAGACCCAGAGAGTATAGACAAGGCTGCAATCAGACGAAGCTGGCGGTTGACTGCGACTGAGCCCGGTCGCCCTTTTCCCATGGCCAAGACAAGGCCCAAGTTGCCGATCAGCATGAGATGTCGCCGATGAAAGCGCCCGGCTGCACGCGAGCGGTGCCTGGCCCCCATCAGAGCCGCCCGGGCCTCAAGGGTCATGATGTCCTCTGGCCGCCTGGAGCGCCCGCTGAAGAGAACCTTCCACGCCCGCTTGTCGCCGACCAGCTCCTCGGGCACCGAGACGAAGTCCGTGGTGCTGCGTTGGCGGCCGCCCACCGCCTGCGGGGGGTCGTCGGGTGCCTCGAACGCGGGCGCGAGGCTGGCCAGCTGGTCGACCAGGTCGCCAGAGCCAGGGGCGCGAGGCACTCGAGAAGCTTGGATCCCAAGTGCCGACGCCCAGGCCGAGGTAGCCGAGCTGATGCCGCACCCCCAACGCTCGCTCTGGACCATGGCAAGCCCCGCGGCCTCGGGGCCCCCCTCGAGCTCCGTGACCCCGGAGGGCCTGTGCCCGAGGCGTCGGAGGCGAGCCCTGCTGAGTCGCCCAGGCGGCGGCAGTTCGCGAAAGAGACAGGCAGGAGAGCGGAAGCCTGCCTGATCTCCGTCTCCACCTCCGCCCACGGCCGACGCTTGGCACTTCCCGCCTTCCGCGCAAATCTGTAGGACTGATACAGGAGGCTCAACAAGACAGCGGCGCAACAGAGCGCACCAAGTAAAGTGCCCCTAGAGACGCGATAGCTCGTCGCTCGTAGCCGAGCCACGGTCAGCGATCCAGAAGGGCCAAACAGGTCTTCCAAATTCGAGATGCAGGCGTTTCGATCGTAGCAGTCTGCATATCAAACACCATACCCGCGAACACCTGCTCGTCACAGGGCGGACCGACGCCCTTGCAAGCGAGACTGGCTCTCTCCATCTTGTTGACAATCTGCTCACAGGCAGCGAGAGCAATGCTGGAGTCCTGACTCACGAGCGCGACGTTGCCCACGTAGGCTCGGATGCCCACCGAAACTTTGTCCAGGTTTGGAGCCAAGTGGCGGCCAAAACTCCTCGGGGTAACCTGCGTCGAGCGCGCATTGCTCCAAGAGGCGCTGACAAAAATGAAATGCCCAGGCCCACCCCATTGGAAGGGCTGCCGATAGGGGAGATATCAGGGCGCCAGCTGGAAGGTCCATGCCGCCCACCCCCAGCGCCTGGATCAACGACTCCCTGTGCGCGGCCGGCAGCGCGAAATGGTCGCACATGCCGGGGGCCAGCTCGACCCTGTAGAAGGCGTTGTCCACGTCGGCCCGGGCAAGGTTCAGCTCGGCGTCGTCGCCGACCTTGCTGGTGATCCAAGCGGGCGCGATGGCCAACTGGGTGCGCGCTGGCTCAACAAACCGTGAGTTCACCCTTCGGGTGTCCAGAATCATCCTGGGACGCTCTTTGTCGGACTTCCAGACGAAGAAAAAAAAACGCGGTGCCAAGCGTGGCCAGGCCCAGGCGACGAAGATGCGCGATGAAGGAAGCGTGCCCAGCACGATCCCGAACCGGGGCTGGGTCAGTGGAGGGCCTGATGTCCTCTACATCGGCGGGGCGTTGACGCAGGGTGCGCTGCTGCCAGCGTGCCCCTTGATCAAGCACGTCACCCTTCAGCGCGGAATTTGGCATGCAGCGCGCGCCGCGGTCGGAGGAGAGACTCGCTCTGGT